CTTAATGAGAACTAGGCAACTGAGGTCTCTCTCTTTCAAAATACCATGCTGCACATTCCGCACCCTTCTAATGGTGATGTTAGATGACACAATGCCTGTGGGAGGAAACACAGTGAGGTGGACAACACTGGCAGGGTTGCACAGTGTTAGGTTATAATATAAGGATCAATTGACCATAGCAAGCGTTGCAATACCACAGCAGTATGACAATGCTGGACAAACAGAAGATTCATATTCTGGGCTAGGCGACATGAGCTTTCACCAAACTACTCAGAGCGGCGTGGAATCTAAAACCTACACATTAATTCCAGAGTTTTCCATTTAATATTTTTGGACTGTGCCTGACCACGTGAAGTGAAACCAGGATAAGGGAGAGCTACTGTTCAACTCCCCTGGCCCCGAATGAAGCAACGTATCCATTCCAAAGGTCTTCTTTCCCCACTTCCTGAGGCCGGAGTCCCTTTGTTCTCATGCCAAGGCTTTATTCAACACACATCTGCTAAAACAGATCCAAAAAGCACAGGCCCATATCTTCAGTGTGAAACACTAAGATCACATGAGTCTTTTTAAAAATTTTTTTCCTAGGACTGTAGAAATTGTCATATTTTATTAATTAATGTTTTTTTAAAAATTATTTTTGATGGTTTTTACATAGTTGATTAGGGTGTGAAGGGTCAAGGGCTAGAGAAATGTGCGTGAAACCATTGTTTCCATATTCTTTTTTCCTTCCTGTATCTTGGGGAGGAGGGGAGATAAGAGAAGACACACCCAGTCTCCCATCCCATGATCCCCAATGTGGGGTACACTCCAAGGGTCCTGAGTAAGTGGTTTTGATAGTTCAACACTTCTGAACTGTTAGTGATCTCAGCACTCCAAGTATGATGAAATCTCTCCACTATCAACTGGATGACATAGTCTATTAAAGAGGCAGAATTAGAGAAAGAGAAAAAAGGAGAGAGAGAAAATCTTCCTTCCATGCTTCATTCCCAAATGGCTGCAGTGGCAATAGCTAGGGGTGGGCTAGGAGCCCAGCACTCCCAATCCAGGTCTCCAAGATGGGAAAAGTAGCCCAAGACTTGGGCCATCTTTTGCTGCTTTCCTAAGTTACCTTAGTAGGGAGGTGGATTAGAGTGGAGCAGTATGGATTCACACCAGCAACCATGTGGAATGCTAGCATATATGTAGAACGAAAACGAAAACAAGAGAGACGCCTCATGCAAAGTGGGCTCTCCAGGTCTTCACTAGTCAGGAAAACCCTCCTGCGTCTGGGCAAATTGAGATGTGGGAAGTATTACTCTACCTACTGCAATGTCTAATTCTTTTTTTTTTTTTTTTAATTATTTTTATTGGAAAGTCAGATTTCAGAGAGGAGAAGAGACAAAGATCTTTCATCTGATTATTCACTTCCCAATTGGCCACAATGACCAGAGCTGAATCGATCTGAAGCCAGGAGTCAAGAGCTTCCTGACCGCAACGGCAGGAGCTGAGCTGATCCAAAGCCAGGATCCCAGAGCTTTTCCAGGTCTCCCACTCGAGTGCAGGGTCCCAAGGCTTTGGGCCATCCTCCACTGCTTCCCCAGGCCACAAGCAGGGAGCTGGATGGAAAGTGGGGTTTGCCTGGGATTAGAACCGGTGCATTCCATTCCTTTTATTTATTCTCAGCACATAAACTAGTGCCAGACACACAGGAGAATCCTGGGCTTAATGGACCTTGGAAGGATTTCTTTATCCTTGGATTGGCGTGATACGATAGCATTTCAGAACTATTGAAACATTTAAGCAGAACCCTTAGAGCATGCTCCACATTGGGGGGCCATTTCCCATTTCCAGGTACTGAGGCGGTTGGGAGGCTGGGAGTGGCCTCTCTCCTTATCTCCTTCCTTCCCCAGATACAGAAGGATGAAAAAGTAAATTTGGAAACAATGCATTCACTCACTTTTCCCTAACCCTTGATCCTTCTCATCCTGATCAAGTGTAAACACCATCAATCAATCGATCATGGACTTTTCTTTATGCTACTTAATAACTCCAAGCACCAGTTTCCTTGTCTTGAAAATATCTGCTATGTCCCCAGAAATACAAACATCTATCACGAGCCAACGGAGCACATAAATGGTTTCTGAAGGTTATCAATACCTAGGACCTATCCCACACACCCATTTATGAAAGACCTACAGCATAAATTAGGAGACACAATGGGATGTTGAAAGGACTCCATGCAACTCTCAAGTCCTTATGGACAAAAGTCGCTGGCTAGAGAACTGAACCATGCTGTCACAGGCCATGGGGGTAATCCATGCAGGGCCACTTCATCGTATAGCATCTAAACATGAGGGGGCTTGTCCACTCTGGGATAAAAGTATTCAACAGCTTCTTGCTGGGACATGGAGAGTGGCCCTGCCACAGGGAGTAAGGCGGCTGGTTCTGAGTTCAAACCCTAGATCAGTATTTGAGAGTGTGGTAGTCTGAGACACACAAGGCAACAGAATACCTTGCCTTGGTATTCTCATCTCTAAAATGGAAATAAGAATCCCAGTTCCTGATGCTGATGTGACAATCAGGTGAATCATGACATACGGAGCATGCAGAACAGGGCCTGGCACTAGCAAGAGTACTGGGAATCCACGTCAGTCTATGTCAAGGCCGGCCACGTGCGTGCACCGTCAGTTCTCACACAGTCCCAGCACAGATGTGTGGTCTGACAAGCCCAGGAGAGTCAGAGGGTAGCTCGGCTCAGCAGGAATTAGGAGTGCAAATCTCATCTTTGGTATCTATTCACTCACTCTATTTCAGCATTCCTGTGGCTTGAACTAATTTTGGAACACAGAGCTACATGGGGGCATGGGATCCTGCAATGCCTCACCACGAAACAGAGTGGAATCCTTTGTTATCAGAGCTGGAGACAAGATGACGGGAAGATTAACTCCCTGAAGTAGCTGTCCTTCCCTGTGAGTGTGGCTGTGTCTGTCTGACAAAGGGACGCACTATTTTACTGTTAATTTCCAACTCTGGAATTTCCCAATTCTAACTTTCATATACTACCACCAAAATGTGCTAATGTTTTCAAATACAAGCTGTGTCAACATATTCTAGAATACATTCCCTGTTACTCTGTGCTAATTAAATCCCAAGCCATGACTGCTCAGTGGGAAAATTGACAAAAAAAAAAAAAAAAAAAGGTCTTTTTGTCTGATCTTGGAAAAGTGATACAGACTGTGTTGGTAAAAATAACAGATATGGAGCCCGACGTGGTAGCCTAGTGGCTAAAGTCCTCGCCTTGAACGTGTCAAGATCCAATGTGGGCGCTGGTTCTAATCCTGGCAGCCCTGCTTCCCATCCAGCTCCCTGCTTGGCCTGGGAAAGGAGTAGAGGAGAGCCCAAAGCCTTGGGACCCTGCACCCATATGGGAGACCTAGAGGAAACTTCTGGCTCCTGGCTTCAGGTTGGTTCGATTCTGGTCATTGTGGCCGCTTGGGGAGTGAATCAACAGATTCCTGTCTCTCCTCCTCTCTGTATATCTGACTTTCTTTTTTTTTTTAAGATTTATTTTTATTTATTTATTTTTTTATTGGAAAGGCGGATATACAGAGAGGAGAGACAGAGAGGAAGATCTTCCATCCGATGATTCACTCCCCAAGTGAGCGCAACGGCCGATGCTATGCCGATTCGAAGCCAGGAGCCTCTTCCGGGTCTCCCACGCGGGTGCAGGGTCCCAAAGCTTTGGGCCGTCCTCGACTGCTTTCCCAGGCCACAGGCAGGGAGCTGGAAGGGAAGCGGGGCTGCCGGGATTAGAACCGGCGCCCATATGGGATCCCGGGCGTGCAAGGTGAGGACCTTAACCACTGCACCACCGCGCCGGGCCCATATCTGACTTTCTAATAAAAAGAAATAAGTGTTTTAAAATAATAACAGTTGTGATAAATATTCAGTGTTTGCTATATGCTGCACGTTCTCCTAGGAATGCCATGGGCAGTTAATCCCCAACAACCCTGTGAAGTGTCATTATTATCTCCATTTTCCACATGAGCAAAACGAGGCTCAGAGCAATGAGATCACTTGCCTTGGACATACACTGTAGGAAGAAGCAGAGGCAGGATTAAACCCAAGCACTCTGGTTTGAGTGTGCATTCTTAAACACAAACCCCGCCACTTACTCATGCTGGAAAGCAAGGACTCCATCCTACCATGAGCCAGGCTGGGACACTCTCTACCAAGTCTTTCATTGGGGCCCCCACTGCATGGACTGCCCAGTTTTCCTTGGTCTGCCCAGCAAAGCCCTGTGCATCTCATGTCTTCCTGCTTTCTTTCACTTTTATTGCATTGCTGAGCCCATGGCAGGTACTCAGGCAAATGGGATAACCTTGAGAAGGGAGACAAAGCAAAATTTCTTTCCAGAATGAGCTCTTTAGTTAGTTGAAGATGTAACCTAATTGACAAACTCGTGATCTGTACTTTATCTTACAAGGCATTATATGAATATAAGGATATTTAGGTGCCTTTTTTTGGGGGGGGGCAGTATTACATCACGTAGCTTTACTAAGCAAACCTCATGTGCCTTAATGGAGTCGGGCGTTTATTGATTTATTTGAAGGGTAGCTACAAAGACAGAGGGGAGGAGAGACACAGTTCTTCCATATGCTGCTTCATTCCCAGCAAATGGCCACAAGGCTAAGGCTTGTTGAGTCAGGTATAAGCCAAGAACCAGAGGCTTCATCTGGTATACCTGCGTGGGTAACAGCAGCCCAAGTCTTTGTGCTTTCCTAGAAGCATCAGCAGAGGGCTAGATAAGAGGTAGGACAGCTGGGACTTTAACTGGCATCCACGTGGGATGTCAGTGTGGCAGACAGTGTGCCACAGCACTGACCCTAAGGCCGATGTTTTTCTTGAGTTTGCTCCACAGACTCTGAAGCACCTGTGCATCAGGACCATCTGACCCTTTTCATGCAAAAAGAAGCCAAGAGCAGGATGCTGCCACGTTGTCTTTGCACCAGCCACCTTACTTGTTGATGTTGCTGCCTTCCTTCAGTCGCTCTCCCGCGGCTCCGGTCTTGGACACTCTTTCGCTGCCCGCCAGGTCGACCAGGCTGACCTTACTGACTTTCTCTCCTGAGTTCTAGTTGTGGGACACAAGAGAGACGCAACAGACATCAATGCAGAAACCATCGGAACATCTGCCTCTAGGTCAGCAGTTTAACAGACAGCAACCCCAATATCCATCCCACTCTAGTGCAGCAAACTTCTCAGGATTTTCAGCAGTCAGAATCACTCAAACTAGCAATGAATTTCACTGTCAAAATTTATGTTGGTGTGTAAAGCAACCGTTTTTTTTTTTTTAAGATTTATTTACTATTATCGGAAAGTCAAAATTACATAGACAAGAAGAGATATTTTCCATCTGTTAATTCACTCCCCAAGTGGTCACTACTGTTAGAACTGAGCTTATTCAAAGCTAGGAGCCAGGAGCTTCCTCCAGGTCTTCCACATGGGTGAAGGGTCCCAAGGCTTTGAGCCATCCTCTACTCCTTTCCCAGGTCACAAGGAGGGAGGTGGATGGGAACTGGAGCAGCCAGAACATGAACTGGCACCCATACAGGATCTTAGCATATACAAGGTGAGGATTTAGCCACTAGGCTACTGCACTGGGCCTGGATCACTTTGTTTTGCGATTGGATATCAAGAACACCTGGCTTTCTAGAAGTCAAAAACTCAGACGTTATATGGGGCCAGGAGGAAATAATAGGGTATGAGGCTCCTTGCACAGTTGGATTAAACCTTTCTTCTGGAAAGCATTCTTTAGGTCAAACGTTTTATACTCCTCAATGATGATGCAGAGTTACTTGTTTGAGGGCAATTTCAATATGAAATGACATGTATTCAAAGCTATATAGCACTATCATCACAGAAGTTTACACAAGAAATCATATATATGATCTCACAAATGAAATGATGTAAGGAAAGCATCTCCTCTAGCTAGAACCCAGCCATGAAATACCTCACCCCGTGGACACTCTGCTTCCTCCGCCCAGCGCCTTACCCCGGACTGCAGGTCGTAGAGCGTCTGCGTGATTATGATATTAAACACAGCATGGGAGCGGCTGCTCTCTTCATTCATGTTGGTTGCAGCGACCGTCCGAGACTTATTTCCCTCCGACATCAACGATTCGATATCCTAGAGTCCGAGCATAAGGAGCACTCTCTGAGCAGCACACCAGGCATGCACACTCCTCAGGATCTGCGAGAACCTTCTGTATAAACCTCCTTAACTCTCCCCTAACAGGTGTAGTTTCAGCTTCTAGCTCGCTCAGTTCTACTGGATCCAATGTTTCCCCATTTCTTCTTTCCAACTCCAAGTGTCTCTACGTTTGTCTGTTAAGACCCTGGCTTTCTTTTTTTCTTTGAAAATTTCCAGGAGAGCTAGTATCCACTGCACACTTCACACAGTAACAATGTTATAGTCTGAATGTGTCCCCTAAAGCTCACGTGTTAGAAGCATAATCCCAAATTCATGTTATTGCCATTTGGAGCTGGGGGTCTTAAAAGGCAGTTAGTATCAGATGTGGTCATGATGCCAGGAAGGTATCAGGACCTTTAAAAGAAGAGACGGTGCGTTTGCCTCCGCCAGTCACACAATGCCTCTGCCATGCTGTAATGCAGCAAGAAAGCCCTCTCTAGGTGCCAAGCAGGTGCCTGGCATCAAGCTCGTTAACATTCCAGCCTCCAGAACCAGCTTTAATTCTTCTTCCCTGTGCCTATCAGCGCAGAAGAGCCACCTGTCACCTGCTTATTCACTTCTGACTTCCTATACCGTGGTGCTCCATGGGTAGGGGATTTGTCTTCATCTCTGTTCACCTGATGCTACAATGCAACGCCTGGAATCCCATGGAGTCTCAGGAAATGTTTGCTGGATGATCCTTGTGAAAGAGAGATTTCTGGGATTTTGTACACAAGGATGCTCCGAAGCCCATGGAGGCCAAACACCCCTCTCCAGATCCGGTAGGAAGCAAAGCTGGGATGCAAATCAACAGCTCCTACTAATTAGTTCCTATTAATGAATGCCAGGAGGCATGGACCCGGACTCAATCATGCTAAGAATCAGGACATTTGTCAAGGGGTGGACTCAGCATCCCTAGGTCAGAAAGGCTTCCACTCACTTCAGCACCTGAGTATTTTTCAAATGATGACTGTGCCCTATTTATCATTGAGCAATACCATATACGTCTTCATTTAAGTGGCTGGACAGAGTTACCTCACAAATCAATTTTGGGTCTAAAAAATTGTAATGGGGTAGCCACATTAAAGATGTAGGGATCTTTCCACTGATTCATTCTACTCTTCAGTACGAAGACAGCAGCTTGTGTTGCGAGTGTTCTAATGCAGTGGCTATAGAAATGAGCACATGACGTCCAGTCACGCTGAACAGGGCATCAATTTCAAGGAGCAGGGAAACAGGCCAGTAGAAACAGCAGTGATGTCAAGAAACAAAAATCCCAGAAGAGAGAATGGTGACCAAGAACTGTCCATTAGGAAAAGCTGAGTCAACTGCCAGGCACTGTTTGGCTGATCAGACGCGTCTAGGACAGCATCATTGGCAACCCTGGGGAGATCTGCTTCCCAACAGAACAATCTGGTGAAAACATCTATCAGGGACCCTGAACAACTACACAGCAAACAGCATACAGTAGGCAAAAGTGATGGCCCTCTGTCATGGGGGCAGGTGGGTGCTGGGTCTCTGGGAACATAAATGGTACCAATAGGGTACAGCATTCGCACGAGAGACATTCAGTAATATCATCTGCAGGCTTGGATTTGCAGATGGCTTTCAAAATGACATTTTAAAATAATCACACTTACCTCAAAACTAGTGACGGCCAGTTGAGATAAGCCATCTACGTATGGTCCCAAAACTTTATGCTCTCGAACTTTCAGAGACTGTCTACTCCTTTGGGAGAAGAGGAAAGGAATAAATGAATCAGACCAAATTTGGAAGCTTTTCTTTCTTCTTAAGCACCCAGACACTGACTGCAATTACAAAAAGGATTTTTTTTAACTGATCAAAAATATATTCTAAAAACAAGTTTATTTGGATTAGCAAAACAGCATTCCATATGAGGAATGTCTTTTATACTCTGATTTCTATTTAAAGTAATGTACTATTTAAAAAGTTCTATCTCTAGTCCTAAACTAAACAACCAGCACACAGAACTAGGTTAGGCTAACTTGTTTTAACAGATGAACCTCAGTTTCACAAAGGGAAGGAAACAGTGAAGCAAAGAACAAAGATATAATTTAACCTTGAGCTGAATTTCTTCAGAAAGTACCTTCTCAATAGTGTCTAAAAAATTCTGAATAATGCAAAGAAAACTGAACCATGCTGAATCTACTTTTTCAAGCTGTGTTGATCTGTGCCGTTTCTATGCTAACGATTTCATACAGACAACGGGAGCACAGCACAGAAGTTGCTTGTAGCCACTGATGTTTATTCTATATTTAGACCAGGTTCTGAGTGAAGGGCTCTCTTCTAGAATTCTCAAAATGGCAAATCTAGTTTGGAACTCATCTGAAGAGCTTTTCAAAAGACAATCAAGGTTAAAAGCATGGCTGTGTATGTTTCACCAGATTGCGTGTGACATTGTTTTCATGGCACTGAATCATTTTTTTAAAAATTTATTTATTTGTTTGAAAGTCAGATATACAGAGAGGAGGAGAGACAGAGAGGAAGATCTTTCATCCCATGGTTCACTCCCTAAGTGAGCGCAACTGCAGATGCTATGCCAATCCGAAGCCAGGAGACTCTTCCGGGTCTCCCACACGGGTGCAGGATCCTAAGGCTTTGAGCCGCCTTCGACTGCTTTCCCAGGCCACAAGCAGGGAGCTGGATGGGAAGTGGAGCTGCCGGGATTAGAACCGGCACCCATATGGGATCCCGGGCTTGTTCAAGGCGAGGACTTTAGCTGCTAGGCCACGCCGCCGGGCCCAACATTAATCATTTTTCAAATGAAGAATCAATTCTGGGCATCTCTCAAATGTGGAAAAAGGAAGAGTCACTCAGTGTTTCCAAAGTCTTGGTGGTGCTCTCTAAGCACTTCAGTTTTCCCACTTAACCCCACGTCCCTACAAAGTAGATAAACTAACTTCGAGGATGAAGGATCAATGTGATGATGAGCAAATCTGCTGTACCCTAACCAGGGACAGACCATAATGCATGTCTTCAGGAGAGCTACCTGACATACACAAGCCAGCACTCAGGCTCCATCTGTCCGCTCAGCCAGAGACAGTAACTCTACTGCCATTTCATATGCTTGTGATAGGGTCCAATATGGAATTCATGCTCACTGCTGGCAGTCCTAGAAACTCCTACACCTGCACATCAAGGGCCCTGCACAACAACAGTGACAGAAGCACTGTAATGAGAAAGAGTGGAAAGTTACCAACACCGGGGGTAAGCTGTTAAAATGGAATGCTGAACAGCAGCAGAAAATAAAGGTACTGTTTCTCGAATGAATGACACATTGAGCAGAAAAAAGCAAATCACAAAGGATATATTAAAACTGAGGCCATTACTCCCCCCGGAGAACGTGAGTTAGGATGGGGGCAGTCCATGCCAGGCAGCGCTACAACACCTGTGGGCCTCATGTGAGCTAGATCAGGGAAAAGCCAGGCTGGGCTGAGTGCTCCTATTGGTGCAAGCATAAATCAGAGTGGGGGTGTGTTGGTTGGGTTTTGCTGCAACATCAGATGGCAGAGGCTGGCACTAGGCGCTAATTCTGTCCAGATAAACTGCAGAACCACCTGGAGAGTACATAATCTGGGAGTGGGTTCAGTTGGGAAATAGTGGGCGCCTAACCTCTGTGGTTACCATTCCCACTGGAGAGCATGAAAACCAGAACTGGGGCAGACCTGGCTAGACAGAACAGTACCCGCCAGCACGTAAGTGGGCTGGATGGCGGGGCTGGTTGGGTTGATCTAGGCTTCAATGCCCATCAACATGTACGAGAGCTGAATGGGATGTGGGACAGACCAGATCAGTCTGCTATACATACTGGCAAGTACAGGAACCAGGGTAGGGGGCAGGCCTGGTGGGGGTTATTGTGGGTTGCTCCAACTAGGCTGCAGTTCCAACTGGTTTGTGTGAGGGCCGAGTGTATGGTGAGCACAATCAGGCTGGACTGCAACACTCATTAGTTCATGTGGAAGACAGGGCTGGAAACAGAACTGACCCAGCAATTTCAACAACCAGCATGTGCATAAGCTGATTGGGGCGATGGACTGTGCTGGACCCTTTACTGGCAACTACACATAAGAAATGGGTCTGGGATCATTTCAGGCAAAGTTTCTTTGGGGATCCTTCCAACTGAACTGTTGATCTCAGAACCACAACCATGAAGAGAATTGCAGGTTTCATGGACTGACCATGGAATGCAAGTGTCAAAGCTGGGCCTCCTCAGAGACTCAGATGGAGCAGCAGACAGCATATCCAGGAGCACATGCAGGATATGGCAGTCCATCAGAACCTGCAGCAGACATCTGGTACCACAACAGAGGATGGAGGACAGAACAAATCGATCAATTAGCCCAGCCATGTGTTGGCAGTGAAAATCTGGACAAAAGGAGATTGTAAGGTGTACTATGTCAGCCAGTGGATTCTGGAGAGATTTCATTGTGCCAGGAATAGCAAGACTTGCGGTAATTTGGAACTGTTGAACTATCAAGGTCACTTCAGCAGGATCCTCGGAGCATGCCCTATGCCGGGGACCTGGGATGTGTGGGAGGCTGGGTGGGGCTTCTCCCTTTATCTCCCTGCTTGCCCCAGATACAGAAAATAGTAATAATAATAATAATAATAATAATGTGGAAGCAATGGTCTTACCCTTCCTCCCCCCCAAAAACACAACAAAAGAAACTGAGGCCATTTATACAAAGTCAGAAATTATACAATGTTATTCCTAAATGCTACAGAAAAGGAAGATAATGATAAACATAAAACTCATCAATAGTAGTTAACTTGTGGAAATAAAAGGAATAGAATGGGATCCAAGGTGAATGTATAGAAGGCTTTAAAAAACACTGGTTATGGGCCCGGCGAGGTGGCGCAGTGGTTAAGGTCCTCGCCTTGCATGCCCGGGATCCCGGCAGCCCCGCTTTCCTTCCAGCTCCCTGCCTGTGGCCCGGGAAAGTAGTCGAGGACGGCCCAAAGCTTTGGGACCCTGCACCCGCGTGGGAGACCCGGAAGAGCCTCCTGGCTTCGGATCGGCATAGCACCAGCCGTTGCGCTCACTTGGGGAGTGAATCATCGGATGGAAGATCTTCCTCTCTGTCTCTCCTCTCTGTATATCTGCCTTTCCAATAAAAAAAATAATAAAAATAAATCTTTATATAAAAAAAAAAACACTGGTTATATTCTAATTGAGCCAAAAAAAAAATTCTAATTGAGCCAAGTAGTGAGTTGGCAGTTACTGATTTTATTATTATTTATAACTTCCAGGTGTTAAATCCTTTCCTATGCATTAATTAATAACTCTTCAAAGTAAAAATATTTCTTACAGTTATAACTCACTTCTTGATCCCATAACTTTGAATCTATACCTGTGATTTATCTAAGATTTTTGTGGACTTCCAAGGTCTCTGAAATGTTACCTGTTATAAAGTTGTTAAAATAATTTAAAAGTATATTTCAATAACACAAGAAAGTGTTCATTATGTCAGAAGGAAAATTCAACACGAATTGAAGGGCTGTATTTACAAACTCAGAGATTAGACACTGGAGCAAAATGCCCCAAGTATTAACTGTGATTATTTTTGAGTAATGGGCTTATAGGTAATTTACTTATTTTTTTTACATTTTATATATTTTCTAAACTTATATAAAAATATGCACTTCAAATCAGTACAATTTTTAAAAAAATTGACGTAAAGTAAACATTACCCCTTTTTCTTTATGGATCAAAAGTATGCATGCCTGAATTTCACCATTTCATGGCCTATTACGAAATCAAAGCATCCACAGGTGCGGGAAACTCAGGGCCTGGATCCTTTAGAAGCTCCTTACAGGGAAGGCACCGACTTGCCAATCAGGATGTCTTAATCCCTCAACCATTGTACCTTCAACTTAGAGCTTATGTCAAACTTCACTGCGAGGATCAATGCATCCTCTATGAACTCCATGTTCACAATCTGATGCAAAAAGAATTACCTATAGAAAAATAGCTTTTTAGATGGCATGTATGGATGTAAGAAAGCTCAAACATGAAAATGGTCTAAACTGTACAGTATGGTGGAGCTGTTATTGGGCTTCGGAGTAGCTAATGATTTCTATGAGCAGTGACCAAGGGTTCAAATACATATATTCACTTGCAATTTTAATTTTAGGATCCTTTAAAGAAACTACCTTGACTTATAAACTCAATTTCAACAAGAACTCACCCTTTGGGGTCTAAAAGATCACGAACTTTTTCATTATAAATTTCCATATAGGACACTTCGACTTTAAAGGTGTGTGACTCATTTTGCTCCAAAGAGATTCTTTTGAATAAAGCACAGCAGAGCCTTGGAATGAGGCCCAACTGCTCGGCGTGGCCCATCATGGAGAAGGATTTTCCTGAACCTGGAGAAGAACAAGCAGAAAGAAGAAAGGGTAGTAGAGAAAGCACATTTAGCACCAGAATTGCACGACTTTTCATCATTTAAGAGCCAAGGTTACTCAGCATGAAACTGACAAACCTGATTCTCAAAACCAGTTCTTGCATGTCATGGCTGTTGGTCCTTCATTACACACAGTCTTCAGTGTCATGAATGTGTATAAGTACAACCATTCTCCATTGCTTTCCCAGGAAACAAGCAGGGAATGGGATAAGAAGTGGAGCAGGGACACGAACCAGCTCCCAGGTGGGATCCCAGAGCATACAAGGTGAAGATTTAGCCATTGAGCCATTGTGCTCCTGGCTTCAAATCAGCTCAGCTCTGGATGCTGCAGCCATTTGGGGAGTGAACCAGTGGATGGAAGATCTTTGTCTCTATCTCTCCTCTCTGTAAAATGTGCCTTTCCAATAAAAACAAATCTTTAAAAAATACAAATGTCACCTTCAAAAGTATGTATCATAAAATTTTAATGATACATTATTAAATGATATTAACAATATTTTGCTGCTATTTAAAAAATGTTTTTTTTTTTTTTAAAAATGACTTGTTTACTTGAAAGACAGTTACAGAAAGGCACAGGGAGGGTGGGAGGAAAGGAGAGGCAGAGGGGGAGTCCTTCCATCAGCTGGTTCACTTCCAAGGTGGCCACAACTGCCAGAGCTGCCCCAGGCCACAGACAGGGGCCTGTACTCCATTCAGGTCTCCCACATGCGCGGCAGGATTTCAGGCTCTTAGGCCATCTTCTGTTTTTTTCTTTTCCTCAGAAAAATTAGCAAGAAGCTAGAATGGAAGTGGAGCAGCCAGGACTTGAACTGCACATGATGCCAATGGCACAGGAAATAGCATAACGTGCTATACCCAGATGCTGGGTATGGCAATTGTACTTTTATAATTGTATATGTTATATATATTCTATCTCTTAGATATCCTATGATTTAATATTAGCCTGCACTGTAATTTAGTCATTCTCATCTTACAGCTGAAAAATTTCACAACAGTGTGTTAAGCATGTTGCTAGCTGGGCCACTGGGCTCGTTTTGTTGTGCTTGTTTCAATTACCTGTTGAACCAGCTAGGCTTTCATAATTTATCATGACTTTTATATCCTATTAAAAGTCCTCAGTAGAGGATGATACTAAGAGGTTTTTTTTTTCACTAGTAACCAGTAATTATTTTTCTGCTTCAAATACGGGTTAAAAGTATAATTTAGGAAAATGACACTTAATAGCTTGAAACTAGCTTTGTTCATTAATATAGAAATTACTCAGTTACGAAAAACTGTTACACCTTCAACAAGAGGCTGAATTTGGACTTTCTTAATCAGTGAGATCCAAGTCAGAAACATACTCAAAGTTCTACTTTCTTTTCTTCCTTCCCCCACCTGGTTATTTATATTTATTATTATTGTTATTATTGTAAATGCTTATTTGGGGGCGTGGAGAAACAATGGTCTTCTATTAGCTGATTCGTGCCTTAACTGCCGGTACCAGTGATAGCAGGGCCATGCTAAAGCCTGGGGAACTCCATCTGGGTCTCCTGAGCGCCTAAGCAGCTATGGTCACAATTCCACAAGGCCTGCCCCTCCATTTTCAAGCCTCAAGCATGCACCCTTAAAGTCACTGAATGTAGACAAGAATAAATTCTTACCTGTCTGCCCATAGGCAAAAATACAAGCGTTATAACCCTGAAAGGCTTTCTCAAGAATCCCTTCCCCAAGGCACTTGAAAACCATTTCTTGACCTAAAAAGACAAACAACAATGCAAAACTAAAATAAGGCAATGATTTTTATTTCTTGACATGTCTGCATTAACATCAATATTTTATGCATCTGGTAAAGCAATAAAAGCAAACTGTGTGCCTACTATGTACAGGTTGATGGACTCAAGATCTTTTTAAAAATTTTTTTATTATATTTTTGACAATCTTTACATAGTTAATTAGGGTAAAAAGGTTCAAGGGCTATAGGAAAGTAGGTAAGACTATTATTTCCATATTGTTTCCTTCATGTATCTGAGGTAAAGAGGAATATTGAGAGAGAAGCCCCACCCAGTTTCCCACCCACCCCAAGTCCCGGATGTGGGGCATGCTCTGAGATACTTGCTCAAGTAGTTTTGATAGTTCACCAGTTATGAATCGCTGCCAGTCTCACCACTCCGAGCATGATGAGGTCACTGAAGAATCCACTGATTGACATAGTCCATCTTAGAGTCTCTATTTGCCCAGTATTTTGCTGCCAACATATAGTTGAAGTGGTTGATTGACTTGTTCTGTCTTCTGTCTTTTCTTGGTTAGGGTTCTGACTCCAGCATTTTGATTGGGGAGATCCCCAAAGTAACTTTAAGATATTCCCAGGGCAGATTCTCGTGTGTTCAAGCAAGCACAGGACCCAGCACAATCCATCACCCCGATCAGCTGGAGGTTGCAATTGCTGGGTTGGTTCTGTTTTCAGTCCCAACTTCCACTATAACCAATAGGTGTTGCAGTCCAGCCTGGTTCTGCCTAGCACATACTTGGCCCTCATATAAACCAGTGGGAGCTGCAGCCTAGTCAGTGGAACCCACAATAACCCCCACTAGGCTTGCCCCCTACCCTGGTTTGCCAGTATGTGTAGCAGACTAGTCCAGTCTGTTCCACATCCCATTTGGCTCTCATACATGTCAATGGGTATTGAAGCTTAGTTCCATCTAACCAGCTCAACTATCCAGCCCTCGCGGATGTTGTTGAGTGCCTCTCTGTCTAGCCACCCCAGCCCCCGTCCTGGTTTTCATGCCCTCTAGTAGGAATGGTAACCCAAGAGGGAAGAGCCCACTATTTCCCTCCCATGTCTCTCTCACTCAAGGTTTATTCACTCTTCAGGTGGTTCTGTGGTTCGCCTTGACAGAATTAGCCCCCAGTGCCAGCTTCTGCCAGCTGATGCTGCGGCTAAGCCCAAACAACCCTTACCCACTCTAATTTATGCTTGCACCAGTAGGAATAATCAGCCCAGCATGGCTTTTCCCTGATTTAGTCCACATGAGGTGCACAGGTGTTGTAGCCCTGCCTAGTCTGGTCTGTCCCCATCCCAGCCCATGCTCTCCAGTGGGAGTAGCTGCCCAGCAAGGGGACACTCCCATATTCCCCCTGCCGGTTCTGTCCCCTCCCTTCCTGGTTCTCACGCATGCTGGTTGGGTGCTGTGGTCACATCTGGTACAGGCAACCTCACCCTGGCATTCCGCAATGTGCAATGGTTTTTGCTGCAACCGAACCTGGCCCGACCCACACACTGTTCTGGTGTTCGGATTTGCCAGTGGACTCAAGATCTTTATAATACATAGTTTTACCTGCAGTTTAGCACCTAGATACACATGTGACTCCACACTCTCTTCCTGAGACATTTCTCTAGGTATTCAAGCATCCCTCCCATTGCCAGCGGAAAATATCAAAGCATCACCAGATTTGAGTTAGTGTCTTCTGACACAGGATCAAAAATGGCACTAAACATCACTGTCTTCTCTCCCCACTGCATCCAGAGTTTCAACAAGCAAAGCTAATGCCACTCACGTTTTGGTATTTCCCCTCAGCACCTAACATGATGTTGTATTCATGTCAAGTGCCAAGAAACGGCCCACAGCTGTTGATGGAATGACAACTGTGGCTGCCATTAGTAGACTCACAAGCATCATTGGCAGGTGGGCTCAGGGACAACCTCTTGTGGACAAATCCATGCACCACACCGTAGCTCTGAGGGGTATTTAGACCTTTCCTTTAGTACAGCAGAGCATCATGGAGGAGTCAAGAGGAAATCATCGGAAAACAGTTGAGGAGGCATTTAGCACACTTTTGAAATTGATGAATTTCTTTCCTTAATTTTTTTTACTCTTATTTGCATTATACAGTTTTGCAGCTATCAGACTTCCTCCATTTTCCTCCTTCCATCTTCTCCCCTCCCCACTGTCCTCTGCATTTTTATAGTCCTTCAGCATTTTAAAGTCCTTCAGCTGCATTTATGAACCCAACATTCTGTTCTTTCTGTGTGTAGTGACATTGTAGGTATAGGCCATGGCAGAGCAACTAGTATTTTGTTACATTTAACAGCTGGATTGGGTCCTTCTTTGATTGGGCAGTAGAGATGCACACTGCAATTCTTTTCTTTCCAAGTATTCTAGTCTCCATTTTACACCATTCGTTTATGACACGGTAAGTGGATACTTGTTTACCTATATATCTTTTTGTTTTGCATTTTTCATGAAGGTTGTCTTAAATCAGAGAACACAGGACATCTGCACATCTGGAATTGGCTTATTTCACTGAGCGTAATGGTCTCCCAACAAAGTTAGGACCACTTTGTTGCATTTCATCCTTGTTATAGAACTTCATTCTTTTTAATGGCTGAGAAGTCTCATGGAAGAGCCAAGGTGATAATGTGAAAACACTTGAGGAGGCCTTTACTATGCTTTGAAATAGATACATTTCTTTTCCTCTTTTTTTAATTATTTATTTATTTGTTTGACAGAGTCATGGAGAGAGGGAAATGGACAGAGACTGAGATCTTTCATCCACAGGTTCACTGCCCAAATGGCTACAACAACCAGGGTTAGGCTACGCTGAAGCCAGGAGTCAGGAACTCCTTCCTGGTCTGCAACATCGGTAGCAAAGATTCAAGCACTGGGCCATTTTTTGCTGTTTTCCCAGGTACTTTAACTGGCAGCTGAATCTGCAGTACAGCAGCCAGGATGGGAACTGTATTCAGATGGGATGCTAGTATCACAGGAGGCCATTTAACCTCTTATCTCCAAGTGATGAATTTCTACATTCTCTACCATCAAGAGGATTAAATGATATTCTTTCTCTGTGCTCGTGTAATCCTGGGAACACTCACTCTTACGGAAGCATTTGCAGCAATGGCGGAGTGAAGCATTCATTTTCTTCATGGAGGTCAGAGACTACAATCTGTTTATCCTTTAATTTCAGTGCACAGCACAAAATGCTTTGTAAGTGTTGGCTGATGGTATGAGTCAGTTAAATCTTTTTGTCCTACACAACACTTGAAAATAATATAACTCAAGCTTTTGGTTTTACTTTTATGCAAAGGCAGATGTGAGTTTAAGACCCCCTGTTATATTACAATATATCAAGACTGCAGAATGATCTTAAAAGTTGTCAATATGAAAACAAGAGATGATATTTTCAATGAGAAGGCTGATGCCACTCACGTTTTGGTATTTCAAACACACAAACACCAACTTTTGACCCCTTAAATTTTAACGAGTTGATGAAACAAGGGATTTTCATGAGCTGTTTGGGGGAGGAAAGTGGATATGGCAGTCCTTAAACAATACCCGACAGTATCTATCACAGGGAATAGTCCCACATTCTCCGACCTGCGATGAAACACTTCTATAAAGTGCCCTGTTGTTATTTATGACAGTGGGAATCAAGTTAACACCCATCAGTACGAAAGTGGATAAATCAAATCCAACTGTTTATATGATGCAACACTACACAGTATTAGGGAAAAAAAAATACACCTATGTGTAAACAGTGCTAGAATTTTAAAAGATTATTGAGTGAAAGGGAAAAAGCCATATATTCACAAAAGTACTACAAACGTTGTGTGTGTGTGTGTGTGTGTGTGTGTGTGTGTGTGTGTGTATGAGTGTGTGACAGAGAGACAGGTCACACACATGCAATGATGTGTAAACAAACAGATGATACACACATATGTATATATATAAATCAGTATGATGTGTATATGTACACTTGGAAAGAAATAACAAACTAAGATAATCTTATCTACTTTAAAAATAAATTTTATTTTGTTTATTAGAAAGACACAGAGTTAGAGCTAGAAGGAGGGGGAGACAGAGAAAGACAGAGAGAGAGAAAGGGCAAGATCTTCAATTCACTGGCTCATTCTCCAAATGACCACAACAGTTGAAGCTGAGCCAGACTTAAGCCAAGAGCCTGGAATTCTCAGGCTTCCCATGCATGCAGAAGGGCCCAATGACTTAGGCCATCTTTTGCAGCTTTTCCAGGCTCATTAACAGGGAACTGGATCAGAAGTGGAATGAGTCAGGACTCAAATTTGTGCCCATAAGAAGCCAGCACTGCAGTCAGTAGTGCCACATCACTGCCCCCATCTTATTTTTCTATTTCTGATTCCTCTCATCAAGCACAGAGCCTGGAACCTAAGAAATATTTATAGCATGTTGATGGAAAACATTTCTTAAATGAGTTAAATAATAAGAGTATTTTCCAAGGACACAGATTGTTGTGAAGATGACCTAAAGATAAGCATCCTGAGAAGAATAAAATATAACCAAACTGCTTTTCACTACATTTATATTTTATATTATCATTATTTAAAGATTGATTTATTTTTATGAAAAAATACAGAAAGAATGAGACAGACAGGAAAGGTCTTCTGCCTGTTGAATCACTCCCCAAGTGACTGCAACAGCTGGGGCTAAGCTGATCTGAAGCCAGGAACTTCTTTCAGGTCTTCCATGTGGGTGCAGGGTCCCAAGGCTTTAGGCTATCCTCCACTGCTTTCCCAGGCCATAATCAGGATGGATGGGAAATGGAGCAGCTGGGAATAGAACCAGCAGCCATATGGGATTCCAGCGGATACTGGGGTGAGGACTTTAGACACTAGACCAGTGTGTCAGCCCTATTTTATATTATGTTTTTTAAAGATTTATTTATTTTTATTACAAAGTTGAATATACAGCGCAAGAGAGACACAGAGGAAGATCTTCCA